GCTGGAGGGAGCTTCACTGGGCTTTGTGGGAGGACCAGCTTGACTGGTTCTACCACAGTGGTGAAAGTGGGATTTGGACTCAGGATTACTTGACTTCCCACTCAAATCCTTTCTCTCCAGTGCCAGACCTCCCAAGTTTGCCACGTACTGCTTGGGCCCTTGGCCTCATGGTCAAAACCCACCGTTCAAGAGGACACACATTTACATATATAAGTGAGAAACCCTAGGCCTCCTCTAGCTACAACACTGTTGTTGCTGTTGTTAGGTGCCGTCGAGTCGGACTCGACTCATAGAGACCCCTCCTTGGGTTTCCGAGGCACTATCACTACGGAAGTAGATTGCCCTATCTTCCTTCCAAGGAGTGGCTGGTGGGTTTGAACCACCAGCCTTGTGGTTAGCAGTCAAGTGCCTTAAGCACTACGCTACAGAGCTCCCCAACACTACTTGCTCTTTTCTTCACAAAATCCACTCTTCCAGCCCTGCCAGTGCGCTCTAAAGGACAGCCCAAGTTGAGTAGCTTGTGTTCACAATCCTTCAGTAGCTCCCCCTCATCATCATAGTAGGCTGACACATGCTGGTTTGACATCTAGGACTGCAATAACTGGACTCAGGAGTCCTGATGGCACAGTGCTTAAGTGCTCTGTTGCTAAGTGAAGGGTAGGTGGTTTGAACCTGCTCTGTGGAAGAAAAGATCTGATGATCTGCTTCTGTAAAGACCCACAGCCTAAAGAACTCCACGGGGGCCGTTCTACTTTGTCCTATAGGGTTTATATTGACTCGATGACACCCAATACAGCATCTGGATAGGGAATCCCTGTGTGGTGCAGAGAGTTAACACACTTGGCTGCTAACCAAAAGGTTGAAAGTTCATGTCCCCCCAGAGGCACCTCAGAAGAAAGGCCTGGCAATCTACTTCTGAAAAGTTAGCCATTGAAAATGCTATGGAGTACAGTTCTACTCTGACACACGCAGGGGATCCCCATGAGTCAGAAATGACTCAGCAGCAACTGGAATATCTGGATACAACTCCTCCCCTGTGGTAGGCAGAACAGTAGGCTGCAAAGATGCCCACATCCTAATCCTGAAAACCTGTGAATATGTTACAGGACAAAAGGCATTTGGCAGATATGGTTAAGTTAAGGACCTTGCCATGGGGGAGATTATCCTGGAATATTCCAGTGGGCCCAGTCCTCAGAAGCAGGCAACATTTCTCAGCTGTTGTCAGAGAGAGATGTGAAGATGAAAGAAGGATCAGAGAGATGTTGCTGGCTTTCAAGATGAAGGAAGGGGGCTATGAGCCAAGGGATGCAGGCAGCCTCTAGAAGCTGGAAAAGGCCTGGGAACAGATTCTTTTCTGGAGCCTGCAGAAGGAATGCAGGCCTGCTGATATCTTGATGTTAGTCTAGTAAGACCCTGAAATAATATTTTCCTCTTAAGACCCTAAAGTGGTCATTTGTTTTTCAGCAATAGAAAACTGATACGATTCCATGGACGCTTCTTCCAACCAACAATCTCCTGCCTTTCGTACCCCTAACGCCATGGGTTTTCCTACGTCCACACTTTTGCTCATGCTGTGTCCCTGTCCACGATATTCAGATCTCCTCTCTTGTCTGAACTTCTATTAAGGACTGCCTCTCACTCCACAGAGTCCTCAGCACTGACTGTCTGGTACCAGCATTCATCCTTCTGCCTGGGGGCTCACCAGTAGACCTTAAGTTCCTTGGGGACAATGTCTGTGACTTATTTGCTTGGGAACCCAGGTGCCCTGTGTTGCTTATGGCCAGGAGTGGCCCATGATGGTTTGCAAAGAGGAACTAGGGCATCCTTATCTAAGAACCGTACTCCCTCGCTGTGCCAGGACCTCCTGGGGATCTTTGACAAAAATACCGATTCTCCCAAGTGTCTCTGTGGTACAGCAGGAGGCAGCTCCACATGCATTACTGGGGAAAGACTTCCAAGCTTCAATGTCAAATGAAAGGGTAGAACATGTGGCCATTTATGTAAAAAAAAAAAAAAAAGAAAAGAAAAAGAAAAAGAATTTTTGTGTAAGTTTTAAAATATTTGATTATTTATGGAAAAGTTTTCTGGGTGGTACAAATGGTCGTGCTCGGCTGCTAACACACAGGTTGGCAGTGTGAACCCACTCAGCAGTGCTGAGGAAGAAAGACCTGTGATCTTCATTTGTAAAGATTGTTGTTGTTGTTATGTGCCATGGAGTTGGCCCCAACTCATAGCGACCCCTCCTTGGGTTTCTGAGGCAGTATCACTACGGAAATAGATTGCCCAACCTTTCCTCCCAAGGAGTGGCTGGTGGGTTTGAACCGCCAGTTCTGGTTGTAAAGATTAGAGGTAAGAAAACCCTATTGAGTAGTTCTACTCTTTAACACATGGGGCCATCACTGAGTCAGAATTGACTTAATGGCAATGGGTTTCATTTATGGGAAAATATAAAAATGAGGTTGTTGGTGTTAGGTGCTGTTGATTTGATTTCAACTCATAGTGACCCCGTGTGGCACAGCAGAACTCGTCCAGAGGTTTTCTAGGCTGTCATCTTTATGGAAGCACATCACCAGAGCTTTCTCTTATAGAGCAGCTGGGTGGGTGTGGCCTGCCAACCTTTTGGTTAGCAGCTAAGCACACTTAACAATTTGTACCACTTTGGCTCTTGAAAAAGAGGTAAGAGTGTATAACACCCTGGCATCTTCGGAATCCTGTGCCATATATACATATTACTGTTCAAAAATATATAGAGATTGATTCTTGGGCTGTGTTGCCAGGAAAAGATCCGTTATGTCCTGGGCAGGATGCAGGAATCTGTTTCTAAAGCACTGTCTGACAGCGTATAATGAAGCCGCGAAGCGGAATTGTCAGGAAGAGGGTAGAGCCAAGATATAAAGGATATTTGGAAGCATAAATGTAAAATGCACTTAATCAGAAAAATGGAAAGCTGTCCCAAGGACTGTGAAGCCAGGTTTGGGGACCTATTGATTTGGCCCAATCTCTATGTTTTATGGATGAGGAAAGAGAGGGGGAGTGACTTGTCAAAAGCCACACAGCCAGAGGCACACAAGGATGCCCAGATATGTTTGATAATGATGATGACAACTAGGTCAACCCCACCCCTGCCCACCCTCACTGAGGGCCTTCTCCCTTAGGAGGTCCTGCTTACTCACAGGGACAGAAGATACAGAAGAAAACACCACCTTTAATCAACCCACCTGCACAGAGACCCGGGGAGCATGTCTGCCTCACAAGGTCCCAGTGAGAAGAGAACCTGTTCCCCTGGCAAAAACCATCTTATAAAAACAAAAGGCTTCAAAGCACCAGTGGCTAAACCCGTTGAGTAGAATGAGGGATGGAGGTGGGGTGGGAGTGGGGGAAGATGATAGCTGGGGTGGTAGGAGAGGGGCTGTAGGCAGGAGCTGGCACAGTCTAAAGAGAATGCACCCCTCTGGAGCTATACCCACCGGCTGGCTGGGCGGCCCATCTGGGACCTCAGTGCTCCTGGTGGCCAGTAGAACCCCTGGGCCTGGCTCCATGGCACAGCACTGAAACTGGGATGGTGGGTGTATGGTCCTAGCTCTAGGGTATTTGGCCTTGTAGAGTAGGAAATACTGAATCTAATGGTGGAGAGCAAGGACACAGTGGTCCCCATGGACAGGCTCAGGTGTGTGAACCATATGCACTGTCTGGGCTCCATTCAGTTCCCCTGTGCCTTCCACCCTCCTTCCTAACCTAGGGCTACTCCCATTTCACAGACCAGGATAATGAGGCCTGACTGTCCTGTTCAGGGACTCACCAACCTGTACACAGATCGTAAGCTCCTCAGGTGTGGAAGGAGGTGGAGAGAATGATCTCTCACCTCTACACTACTCCAAGGAAGGGTGGGGATGCTGGCCCTCTGCATACTGCCCCCCCCCATGACCCAGACCCCCAATCTGTTCCTTCAGAACTCCTCAGGGCCTTAAAGGTTGCCTCTGGACACTGGAGTGGTTATTAAAGTGATCTGTAAACACTTCCACTCTGGAACCATAGGTTTTCCAACTGGTGAGGTGGATGGGTGGGGCCTTCTGGGGTTGATAGAGCTGCTGTAGGGTAGGGGATCATAGTGCAGCAGACCCAGCCTCAGAGACCTGGGAGGGGTGGGGCAGTTGAGTTGTGCCCCCTTCCCCCTTTACTAGAGGAGAGAGCTTGAAAGGTTAGCCAAGGGTAGTCAGAGGCTGAGTCTAAGAAGGCTTCCCTTTGGGTCAGCTGAATGCAGGGCTTTGGGCTCCATTCATCTGGTTCCTAACAAGAGAATGGGTATATTGCTTTAAGAGAGACATTGGCAAGTGGTGGCAGTGGGGTGTGTATGTGTGTGTGTGTTGGAAATCACATGGGTTCTACAGTGTCTCAGCTGGAAGGGGGTTTGGAAACGGAATTCAAAGACCAGCCTCTGGTTTTTGGAGTCTGAAACAACACAAAGTGCACTGAGTTCAAGGCCTGGCTCCACCAAACACCTACTGTGTAGCCTCAAGCAAATTGCTTCATATCCCTAGGCCTCAGTTTTCATATCTGCAAAACTGGAATAATAATTCCAGCCTAGCCCAATGAATTGAGAGCTAAATGAGAAGGCTAGCAAGAGTTCTACCTGCTAAGGGATTATTTAAATTATTCAAGGTGGGGAAACTGAGGCCCAGAGAGGACAAAGGCTTTGAGAAATGCCACACTGTGACTGGTAGAGTTGAGATTAGAAGCTCGGACTCCTGCTCTCAGTTCATGGTATTTTTCCCAGGGCTAGTGAATGTGTGTGGTGAGTATGTCCCCTCCTGCTATTTGTCTCTGGACAGACAGCAGGATGCGGGGTGAAGGGTGAAAGGGAGAGGCAGGAGGAGAAGGAAAGGAGGCCCCAGCGCGCGCCAAGGCTGAGATTAAAAAAAAATACAAACCCCACGACCCCTTTCCCCCGCCCGGCCCCGCCCCACCCCTGAAGTCCAGGCTGCAAAGGGCCAAGTCTCTGTTCAAGTCTGCTTTTCTGGCGGCTTGAGCCGGCCCAGGATGCAGTCGCTTCGCGAGCCGCCAGGGGACGCGCCTGCCCGTCTTGGCCCGAGCTGGCGGTAGCAGCCATCAGTCCAGCCGCCAAAGGCGCGGCAACCAGGGAGGGCGCAGGGCAGAAGCTACCCCGACCTGGAGGAAACAAAGGCAGGTTGGGGGTTTGGGAGTGGAACCCGAAGGTAAGGGGGTGGAGCGACCAGGCTGCCCTCCCTCCCCTTGCTTCCAACACTAACATCCCTGTGCCCCCTCCCCTTGTGCTCCCTGCGGTGACCCACGTGTACAGAGGCTGCAGTTGTAAATGCGACGTCTTCTGGGGAGCCTGGTAACCGTAGGAGTCAAAGCCACCGATGAAGTCAACTGCGGACAGGGAGGTAGGGCATGATTAGGGGTATGTTTGAAGGGGAGGGGCAAGGTATAGGAATTTGGGTCCTGATAGGGAAAAATGTGAGGGGCAAGACCAACCTCCCCAGGAAACCAAGGTGGCATTAAAGGATGGACTCTGAGGGCCCGAATACAAACAGGGCTTTACAGGCTGGGCTTTGATACCTATAAAGGACTCCCAGGAGCCAAGCCAGGAATGAGCCAAGACCTGGGGCGGGCCTATCAGGGAGAAGGCCCTTGGAAGTAGATAGGGGCGGGTGGAGCAAAATTGCGTAGGGCTGAGCCATGCAGAGATGGGGTTTATAAAGCCCCTCAGAGGGACAGAGCCTAAGTGGGGCGGGCATGGGGTAGTGCTGGGGCCATGGAATAGGTCCCTAGATGTTGTGGGCCCCAGCCCACAGTGGGTTGGCTATGAGCGCCTCTTGTTTCCCCTCAGAGGGCCTCGGGCCAAGCGGGGGTTTGCTCCCGCCTGGGCAGTTGAGGCCTCTGTCCAAGGTGCTGAAGGCGCGTGGTGGCGCGTGGTCAAGCTTCACCACTTCCTTAGGGGCACCACACTTACAGCTGTCCTCCTCCTCCAGGAACACTTTGCTCACGTAGCAGGCGAACACGAAGCCGAACAGCTGGGAGAGGGGACAGCACATCAAGGAAGGAAGGAGGAGAAGAAAGCCCCTCTTTGATGTCAGGCCCTTCCCCCCAGGCTCGGGATACAGGGTGTGAGCATGAAGACAAACCCATAACAATTTCAAGTTAAATGATTGCACCCTAAAGTCAAACAGACCTTATTCCATTCTCTGTTCTGGGAGTGTGAATTTGGACAAGTAATTACTTTTCCTCTTTGGGCTCAGCTTCCCCAGCTGGACTTGGGCAATGCCACACTAGGTTGTTAAGAGAACTATGTGACATAATGTGTATAAAGCACCTAGGACTAGGCTGGCCCAGAGTACCACTTCTAGAAATGGGGATGATTACTATTTTGGAATTATTTCCAAACCACCAAGCACTTTAACAGCCACTCTCTTATTTTATTCTGAAAACTCTATTTCAGAGTTTTCAGAGGTGGGTATTGCCATCCATCTTTGCAGACAAGGAAACAGACTTGGAGAGGATAAGTGACTTGTCCAAGGTCACATATCTGGTGTATTGGAGATACAAACCCAGGAATGACTCGTGGTCTGTGTCATTCTGTTCTTTAGACCTGCTCACTCCCTGCATAGTGACAGGAGCAAGGGGTGAAGGGGGGTAGTACAAAATATGGACACAGGCCTGGGCAGAAGGACAAGCAGGCCGGAAGACCCAGATTCATCGCCCTCTTAACTAGGTCTTGAAAAAGGGGCTGGAGTGGAAGCCTCCACTTCTAGGGGTGTGTGTGTGTGAGACAGCAGGACAGAAGGACTGACTCACTGCCAGGAAGATCTGCAGGGCGCTGCTGAGTGCCTCAATGTAGGGATAGTCAAGCAGGCAGCCGGTGACAGAGATGACATGGTGGTCCTCCAGGGCCAGGCGGGAGTTCAGGACAGGTGTCACCAGGCAGCCTGGACCATTCTCCATCCACCAGGAGCGGTGCAGGGATGTGTTGAAGGTCATGATGAAGTCCCGGTCCTGGGGGCAGAGGGGCCTGGGATACTGAGCAGGGAGGAGAGAGAGATACTCCCCAGGTTCCAGGAGACCATGTATAAAGCCTACTTGGACTACTATAGCCTCTTCCCCTGGCTTGATTATGAAAGCTGAGCCTGCCCCTGTAAGTCCACATTTGGTCAGTAGGTGGCGCTTGATAACTGCACTCCTCCGCCTCCTCCTCACTGCCCTGGAGTTGGATCCCACTCATAGCAACCCCTCCTTGGGTTTCCAAGGTAGCATCACTATGGAAGTAGATCACCCAGTCTTCCTTCCGAGGAGTGACTGGTGGGTCCAAACTGCCAGCCTTCTGTTTAGCAGTCGAATGCCTTAAGCACTACACCACCAGAGCTCCCGATAACTGCACAGGTGTCACTTTTCTAACTCTGCGAAGGAAGGGATGAGTGTTGACCTATAGGGATCCCCACATTGCAGGGCTAGAAGGGGCTTTAACAGTGCCTAGGTCAAATTTCCACCAACTGGCGAAATCCTCAATACAAGCCCCTTCACATTCCATTTCACCTCTTTACTGTTCTCCCTGTGGCTGACCCTGGGCAAATTTCTCATTTCTTTGATCTTTGGTCTCTCCATTTATTAAATGGAGACAACATTAGCTTAAATCAGAAGTTGTCAGCAATGTGCATCCATTTATTCACCAATCCAGTCAGTCAGTCAGTCAGTCAACAAATATTCACTGTGTGCTGGTCAAGTGTTAAGCACTTAGGTGTGTGATATCATTTCATCTTCTCAGCAACCACATGAAGTTGACATTGGAATTATCTCCATTCGATAGATAAGGAAACAGAAGCTAAGAAAGATGAAGCAACTTGCCTAGGGTTACACAGGAAATGTTAGAGCAGGGCTTTGAATCTAGCAGGGTCAAACTACAAAGTCAACGGTTTTATTCATAGTTTTTGCTTCCCTTAACTCTGAAAATGGAAGTTGTGTCCCTCTCTGCTTGCTCTTCTCCAAGCTAAATAATGCCACTTTCTTTAATAGTTCTCCATATGGCATAAACTAAATCCACTGCTGTCAAGATAATTCCAACTCATAGAGACCCAATAAACCAAAAAAAGATACAAAACCCCACTGTCACTGAGTCACTTCCAACTCACAGTGACTCTCATTGGGTTTCCAAGGCTGTAAATGGTTATGGAAGTAGATTGCTTCATCTTCCTCCCATGGAGCAGCTGGTGGGTTTGAACTGCCTACTTTTTGGTTAGCAGCCCAATCAATCAACCACAGCACCCACCAGAGCTCCTTAAACCAAAAACCAAACTCACTGACACTGAGTCAATTCTAACTCATAGTGACCCTCGTGGGGTTCCTGAGGCTATAAATCTTTATAGAAGTAGATCACCCCATCTTCCTTCTGCAGAGCAGGTGATGAGTTTGAACTGCTGACCTTCAGATTAGCAGCCAAATGCCTTATCCACTACACCATGAGAGGTCCATAGAGACCCTATAAACCAAAAACCAAACTCACTGCCATCGAATTTATTGTGACTCATAGCATCTTCCTTTAGAGACCCTTTAGGACAGACTAAAATTGTCCCATAGGGTTTCTACAGCTATAATCTTTATGGAAGCAAACTGCCACATCTTTCCCCCACAGAGCAGCTGGTGGGTTTGAATCCCTGAACCTCTGGTTCGCAGATGAGCGCTTAACCACTGCATCACCAGGGCTCCTCTCATATGACATAAAAAACCCAAACCTGCTATCGAGTCAATTCTGATTCGTAGTGATGTCCACTGGGTTTCCAAGGTTGTAAATCTTTATGGAAGTAGATTGTCTCATCTTCCTACCATGGAACAGCTGGTAGGTTTGAACCACCAAACTTGTGGTTAGTAGCCAAATGCCTTACCCACTACACCACTAGAGTTTCTTGTATGACATAAAAACCAAAACCAAACTCACTGCTGTCGAGTCGGTTCCGACACATAGCGACCCCTCCTTGGGTTTCCGAGGTGGTATCTCTATGGAAGTAGATTGCCCAATCTTCCTTCCGAGGAGTGGCTGGTGGTCATATGACATAATCCCCTCAATTTTCCTTGAACAAACACTAAGCAGGCTCTTACCTTTTGGCAAAATACCAATCAGAATTGGGCTCAACTCACTATGGTCTAAGCAATAAAAGCATTTTTGCAGACCTTGCTCTGAACAGTATACCTCTGTTAATGGAACTTAATTTAAGTGTAGCTTATGAGGTGCGGTGGCACAGTGGTTAAAGCACTCAGTCACCGACCAGAAGGCCAGCAGTTCAAACCCACCAGCTGCTCCATGGAAGAAAGATGAGGCAGTCTGCTTCTGTAAAGACTGCAGCTTTGGAAACCCTATTAGGCACTTCTCCTATGTCCTACAGGGTGGCTATGAGTTGGAACAGACTTGACAGCAGTTGAGTTTGGCTTGGAGTTTGGTAAGAGTAGCTTTCTGGGCTACCACATGCTGTTGATTTTTACTGAGCTTGTGATCCTCTGAGACCTTCCCAGTCCATCTTCACCCAAACTTCTCTTCAGCCTTATCTGCTCCATCATTTGTTTTAAAGAAATGCAGAGGAGGCCAGAAACAGAAATGTTGGGGTGGGGGCTGTGGAGCACAGATCATTTGGGTGTGTAGAGGGAGAGCTGTCCATCAGATGACACCCCCAACCCACCCACACTTGGAGCCCTTGGCGCTGAGAGGCCTGAGGCTTACCTGGGACAGCTGTCCAACCTCCAGGTAGAAGCAGATGATAAATGCATTCCAGCCAACCCAGAGCACCAGCCAGGCTGCATACTGGGGAAAGCAGAGGTGGGATCAGGGTAGAGCCTGGGATAATGGCATGGGGTGTGCCAATAGAGATGGAGCTCAAGGACTGAGGCGATCTTTGCAGGGGAGTTATGACAAGACTTCACTCAGAGTGCACTTTATAGTTTACAAATTTTTACAGCCATTCAGTCCTTATAACAGCCCTGCGAGGTAGGCACTGTCCTCTAAGATAACTAACTTGATGTCCAGAGCGGATATTTAAGTTGTCGAAGATCATACAACTAGACGAGGTAGAGCTGGCACTCCAACCCCAGTCCTCTGATGACGAATCTTATCCTATCTGCAAAGAACAACAGCCACTAGGGCAGCAGTCACTAGAACGTTATCAGAGTCACTTGGGGAGTTGATTAAAAATGCAGATTCTTGGGTCTCTGGACTCTCAGAAGAACAAACCAATCTGTCCTGGAAGAAGTGCAGCTGGAATGATCCTTGGAAGCCACGATGGCCAGACTTCGTCTCACCTACTTTGGACACATTGTGTGGATGGACCATTCTCTGGAGAGGGGTATCATGCTTGGTAAAGTGGAGGGTCAATGAAAAAGGGGAAGACCCTCAATGAGGTGAACTGACACAAAGGCTGCAATGATGGGCTCAGGTACAGCAAGGATTGTGAGGATGGCGAAAGACTGGGCAGTGTTTGTTCTGTTATACATCGGGTCACTGTGAGTTGGAGGCAACTCGACGGCACCTAACAACAACAACAAGGAGCTCAGAAGTTTTTAAACAATCACTAGGGGATTATGACATGGATGACACTTTTAGAAACACGTTCCAGACAGTAAGCCATTAGAGGGCAAGGACTTTGCCACCTTATTCACTATCGGAATGTGGTGCCCAGAAAACGAGAGGCATTCAGGAACGGATGGATCAGTCAACAGCTGTTAAGAAGTGGTTTAGAAAGTGTTGCATGTTAGGACACAGCTGGTAATTGGAAGTGGAATGTCAGAAGGCCTGGGACAGAGGACAGAAATTTTCTAGAGGGGGAGGGAAGAACAGGAGACCTCTTCACTTCCCAGGAAGAAGCCTTAATTCTTATAAGTGATTGTGATTCTTTGTGAGAAGGTAAGTAGAGGCAGAAGGAAGTTGGGAACTCTATATGAAAAGAGACAGGAAGTTATCCCATAGCCTGGTGCCTGAGTGTAAAGTGCAGCATCATCTCACACATGGCTATGGCTGGTGTAAGTCTGGGTATAAGGCGATGAGGGAGGTGGGGAGAGGGCAATGGGTGGAGCCTGAATAAAGGCTGGGGGAGGGGGTGAGCAGATCATGCTGAGCCCCCAAAGATGGAAAGGGAGTCCCAGCCTGGGTTATGGGTTCTCACTATGCCACTCCTTTCCCTCCCCTCCTTGCTCTGGAAACTACACCTGAATGACCCAGGCCAGCTGTTGTAGCCCCAGCAATCCTTCCATCTGGCTGAATGGAGAAGGTAGGGATGGGAGGGCCAGGGAATAGCCCCTCAGTTCTTCACATCCTAGATGTGGCCAATTCTGGGGAGAAGAGCACCTTACCCATGGCAAAGAGCTAGAGGGCAGGGGGTTAGAGTGGCCTTGGGAGCTGGTTATTTCCACTCAAGTCCTATGCTTGTGATTCCAGTGGCTTCATCCGGCACAAAGTGATGCTCACAGGGGTTCTGGGGCTCACCTGAGAACCAGAGAGAAGGGTTCTCTTATCTCAGGTGAGAGGATTTTGGAAGGGCCCTGTTCACCCAGCCCTTGGTTTAGCCTGTGGGAGGTGGGAGGAACTCCTGGAATGAGTATAAGTGGGCTCTGGTGACAGCATGGCATTGTGTGTCATTGTTATTGTGGGTGTCAAACTTCTATGTAGTAAAACCAGGCAAAAAGCCTTTTCCCTCAAGAAAGGCACATGACTGGATCACTGAGGAATAGCAGGGGACAGGGGTGAGTTTAGCTGAAAACAGAAGCTTGACAATGACCATGGGAGCCAGGGCTTGGAATGAGGAAGAAGGGGAAGGGAGCTGGGGACAAAAATCTGACTTCTGGGATGGGACTGCAGGTAGATGCTGACCTCAAAGCCATACTAACTCCTCTAGACTGGATCTTTGATGAATATTAGCCAGCAGAACAGACACTAAGCCTTCTCAAAGGGTCAAATCCATCATGGCAACCAGCTGACAAGAATATGCTTCTGAGAAGCTAAAGACAAAGCCCATTCCTGGTTCGTCTCTCACTGGTTTACTGACATGACATGCATGGTGACATGGCCTTCTCTCTGGATGTGATACTCTAATTCTGGCTCTGCCACTTATTAGCTATGGGGCCTTAGGAAACCTTGTGACCTTTCTGAGCCTCAGTTAACTCATCTGGAAAATGGAGTGGTGAGACATACCTCTCAGGGCTGTTATAAAGATGAGAAAAAGCAAAACTTTAGCAGCGTATCTGATCCATGGTAGGCACTCACTAAATGATATATCTGGTTAATGTTTGGATTGTCTCCCTAGGAAATTTTGTAGGAAAAACATGAACCTTGTCTCAGCTGAGCAAAGAAGCATCTACCACACCAACTGGGCTGAAGCCAAGACAGAGCAGCAGTCTGGGTACCCGGGGTGGGGGCAGTTCTGGCTGGAGGAGCAGGGAAGGGTGGGCAGGGGTGAGCAGAAGAGGCCAGCTTGGAGAGGGACTGGGTGAACCGTACCAGAATGAGATACCGGGAGCGGTACTGCACTGTGCCAAAGATGCCCAGGATGACTGCCATGATGTGTAGGAAGTTGGCTAGGATGGGGGCCCACTGGTAGCCCAGGAAGTCAAAGATCTGCCGCTCCAGTGCAGCCACCTGTGGGAAGAGAGCAGGCTGAGGCTATAGTCACAAGGACTCCTCCTTGACCCTGTGGAGCAGGTGATACCAGTTATCATGGTTATAAGGAACCATGGTCTGGCTATACAGGAGTCCCAGAGCCATCCCAGCCCCTGAGTACAAAAAGTGTGCTGGCAGGTGGGGGCAGATTTGGGGGGTGAGGAGTACGGAGCCATGGTCATTACTTTGGGATGGGCTAAGAGAGTTGGGAGTCAGGGATTAGAGCATCTTCCTCTGCTCCAAAGAAGCCCTCCCCACTACTAGCTCAAGCTCTTGCACCTTCCCCACGTGGAACTGTCAGGCACTGGAGTTAGTTAGGATCTGGACCCTCTCTCTCAGCCCAGGCCTAATAGCTGAGCCATGGTCTTGGAGGGCCCAGGGAAGTCGCTGAGCCTGAGTCATCTCTTCCAAGGACCCTTTTTGGAGGTTGCCCTAGCCCATGAATTCCTTCCATGATCCATGAGTCACAGGGAAAGCATTTTTCTTCACTCCCCTTCTGTGAAGGAGCTGCAGACAAACCAAACAAATCTCACTGCCATTGAGTTGGATCCGACTCACATAGCAACCCCTCCTTGGGTTTCTAAGGTGGTATCACTATGGAAGTAGATTGCTCAACCTTCTTTCCGAGGAGTGGCTGGTGGGTTCGAACCGCCAGCCTTCTGGTTAGCAGTCAAGTGCCTTAGGTACTATGCCACCAGAGCTCCTGAAGGAGCTGCAGTAGATTGCAAATCCTTCAATGTTTTCCTTTGCTTGCTTTCATGCTCTTTCCATACTCTGTGCATGGTCATGTGACTTAATTTGCCTAACGGGACTTTAGTGGACACGATGCAAGCGACGGCTTGAAAAATGCTTGTGCACTGGAGTTTGCCCACTTGCTCCTCTTCTAATGCAGAGGCCACTCCGTGAACAAGCCCAAGCTAACCTACTAGAGGATGAGAGGCTGCATGGAAGAGAACTGGGGCACCCTAGCTGACAGCCAGTCAACTATCAGACACGGGAGTGAAGCCATCTGAGATCATTCAGAAACTAGCAAACCCAACAGCAGACTACGGCTCTCTAGTCTGAGAGCCCAGACTAGAGCAATCTCCCAGCTGACCCCAGAATTATGAGCTAAATAAAATGGTTGCATTAAACCACTAAGTTGTGGAGTGATTTGTTATGCAGCAAAAGCTAATTGATACAGGAGTCAATCAACACCCCTTCCAAGCAGCCCCTTGGTTCAATCTCTTGCTGATGAATTTAGGAACAAAGGTGCCATGGATTCTTGTTTTTGACTGTCCAACATCCTGTTCTCTGGTGACAGAATCTACCTTTGTTTTGAAGAACCACCTTCCCACACACTGTCCATGTGCTTTGGTTGGGACTGATCCCATTTCAAGTTTCTAGGGTAGGCATATAATCTTGTATAGCCAAATAGCAGACATACAGTCATGGGTACCTGTTCAGAGATGGGTGCTCACCCTGGGCCCCAGTCCTGATAGTCACCCTAGATATTTGCTGGAGGAATCAGGAAAGAGATGCTGTTAACTGCCAGGATACCTGAATGGGTATGGTGTGCTGACATGGTATGGATACCTGTGGGTATGGCGTCAGCTTGAAGCTGCTGGTAGAGGCAGGCTGCCTGAAGAAGAAGCCAGAACTGAGGGAGAGAGAGAGTGAAAGAGCAAGAGTAAACAAGTGAGTGACATCGTTTTAGATCCTGGATCTAGCCATGCTTAAAGCTAGTTCTCTCCCCTTGTACTTCCGATTTCTATCACTTGCAACCAAGAATCTTGACTAAAATAGAAGTACAGAGAAGAGGATTTGGCTGGGGAAGGAGGGGAGAAAATTCTGTTAAAGTGAGAAGGTCCCAAGAAGCCATTTTTCCTGGCAGGGAGGCAGGAGGTAGAGTGGATGCTGCTACACAGATGGCAAAGCTTGGGCAGAGACCAAGGGAGCTGCAGACTTGGGCAAGGGGGCTGAGGGGAGCCTGGTGGTGCCAGGCTCAATCTTGGCACCTAACCAGTCCGCCTCTGGCTAGTGACTCCCCTCCCAGGCTCTGCAGATTGTAAAGAGCTTTCCAAGTTCATGTCTCACTGGATACTCCTTGGCAGAAAGGCAAGGATGGGATCATTATCTTATTTTGAAGAGAATATGAGGCTCAGAGAGGAGGTATGACCCGCCCAAGGTCACACAGCAGGTTGGTGGCAGAGCCAGGCAGCCATTCTGCCTTTCTCTACCACCTGTCCCATCTTGGCACAGACACACCACCTTTCCCAGTTGGTACTGGCTTGGGAGTCAAGAGGTGCAGGTTCTCGTGGAAGGTCTACCACTTGCTGTTGGGTGACCTTGTGCAGGCCACCTTCCCCCACTGGGGCTCAGGCTCCTCTTTCATAGGTAGAGGGCGCTGGACTAGATGATCTCCAAGGGCTCTTCCAGCTTTGACGTCAACGGCCTGCTGACCCTGGGGGAGAAGCTCTCTGGGCTTGCTCAGGGCCCACCGCCAAGGTCTCTGCGTGCTGCTCCCCCTCCTGAAAGCTCCTCCCTCACTTCTGTTCTTTTTCCTTCCACCCTGACTGTCAGACCCTAAAACCACAGGAGCTCTGGTGGTCTGGGGCCCAACTTATGCTTTTGCTCAGTTGGCACCTCATCCTAGGGGAGGAGGTCCCCATCAGAGGATAGACAAGGAGACTGTGACAAGGATGTGCAGGCTTTGGTGTAGCTGGGGAGACACCCCACCAGATATGCACACCTAATACATGACATCACCCCCTCAAGCCCTGGTCAAGCCCCTTCTGTGTTCTCCATGACCTCACTGATACACTGAGGAGCATGGAGGGTTTTTTTTTTTTTAAAGAAGAAACTTTGGAGTCAACTCAAACTTGAATCCAAATCCAAGATCTGTTGTGTGACTTAGGGCAAGTCACTTTCCCTCTCTGAGCTTATTTCTTTGACTATAAATGGGGAAGATAATCCCTTCCTGAGAAGCTGTTGTGAGAATATGGTGACATCACATAAACTAGCAGACAATAAGACTTAATAATGGAAGCTAATTAATAGAAAAACAGGAAGACCCTCAATGAGATTGATTGACACAATGGCTGCAACAATGGGCAGCAATTGGATGGCACAGGACCGAGCAGTGTTTCATTCTGTTGTACACAGGCTCGCTATGAGTTGGAATCAACTCGACAACACCTAACAACTACACAATGAATAGAAGATTTATCTAAGCTTCTTAGTTTGGCATTGAAAGCCTGCTAGGATCTGGCTCAATCCTTTCTTCTTCTTCAGCATCTGCCTCCAAGCAGCTGAAATGACACTTGATGTCCCACCTCCCTTTCCCTTTCTTTTCATCCAGGTCCTCCTTGGTCTTCACAGTGCAGCTCAATTTCCCCTTTTCTAGGAGGACCTCTCTGACTGCCTTGGCCCAAAGGGATCTCTCCTTCCACTGAACATGGAGCATGGGCTGTCCTTGTCACTCTGAGTATTGAGCACCCACAAGCCATTCCTTCAGCCTCCCATTGGCTAATCATTCATTCACACCCCACCCACTGCCATTTCTCCATCCATCCAACATCTGACATCCCCTCATCCATCCGAGGTCCTCATTTATTCATGCATAGAATGTTTAGTATCGGGGTCTGAGCTGGCACTGGGATGCTGAAATAGTAAGTCCTGGTCCCACCCTTTGGGATCTCAGAGTCTAGTAAAGGAGATGGATGGGAAATTGGACAGTGACAAGCCAGTGTAATAAACACTAAAACTAGTGTAGTCAATGCTACAACCCAGGCCTACAAGGATGCTGTCTTTCTCTCTCCAGTGGTGTGAGCAGAGATAGAATTAAATATATCTTTTTAAAAATTGAGAGTCAGTGCCTTATACATAATCTCAATTCTAAAGTTATTGGTATTATCAATTAGAAGACCTAGTCAAATTTCTCAGGACTTCTGCTTCAATGGTGATATGCAGATAATTAACAAATAAGAATAAACACAAAATAGGAGAAAAACCTTCCACATCTGGTTGCACAGTTTAGGAACAATAATCTGAGTGCTGTGGTGACTTACAGTCACCTTAGTGACTTTGGTGTGGTGGCCTTAGTGTGTCTTTGTTTCTTTGATGGAAGGAATTGTGTGGAGGCAACAGCAACCTAGCCGTTTGTAACAATTTCAAAGCATGTACACTGAGGAACAAAAATTACTTTGGGGATATTTGTGCCCAGTCAGCCTGCAAGTCAGGTCAAGCTAGCTTCTGGAATCTCTCTCTTTGGTGGGCCAGTTTGAAAGCTCCTGTGGGCAGCAGATGCAGCCTCCTCCCTGATCTTTTGAGAAGCAGCTTTTCTTGCAGCCTTTTTGAGTGACACTACTTTCCTCATTCCATGTTCCTCAGGCCCAAAGTGGGATTGGTGTCCTCTGGGGTCCCAAGCTGCTTGCAGAACTATACAGCCCTGTGCCCCTGAGGCTCCAGCCCTGTGGTTATACCACCCTCTTCACTGCTAGGTGCAGCATCCTCTGACCTCCAGCTCATGTCTCTTCTTTGAAAGTCGGTTTGGCCCCTGCATTGTCCTGGTTGATGTCCATATCCGAGAACCCACCCCATCTGGTACCATAATCGCTCAGTCTCACAAACTCCTCTTTCATGACCTCCCCCTCCATTCCTCCATATCAATGGCTGCCCCCTGGGCTGTGTCATCATCTGTAACTGCTCTGCCTCCCTATCATCAGTTCGACAAGCCCCCTCTGACCACTCCAGCTCCCTTCCCAATGCCCTCCATGATGACGGCTGCAGTGTCGTGCATCAGGTTCTCAGCCTGCGGCCCTCTACTCTCTCCCGTTCTGCAGACCTCTCCTTTCTTCACTTGCCCTGCTGGGATCCCATGATCCCTTACTTCAGGGAGTGCCCTGAGCTCTGCCCAGAGCTCGAACTTCCTTGCTCCTCTACATGTAGGAAAACCTACACCTGGATAAACCCAATGACCTGTTTTCCCAGTGCCCACA